GGTGGTGGTGGTGGTGGTGGTGTGTGTGTGTGTGTGTGTGTGTGTGTGTGACAGAGACAGAGACAGAGAGAGACAAAGAGAAAGGCTGAAGACTAACAGTCAGACATGCGAAGGTGAGAGTTATGTCCTCCAGCACACATTGCTTGGGAAACGAAGGGGCGTGTGGCCAACTGCCTTGGTGAGTCATGAGAAAAAGGAAAGGAGAAGTCATGTGAAGTAATGCACAGAAAAATTAGAAGAACCAATTTGGATTTTACCACAGATGCAACGGCAAGGGGCTTTAAATGGTGACTGAGCAGGGCACATGACTGCATTTTCATTTTAAAGCTCACTCTAGGTACATCCAACCCTAAGTAAACTAGAATAGCTATTGTCCTTATTAGTCCAACCTAGTTCATCACCTCTCTTCTTCTGATAATTTCCGTCTTATCCTCTCTGGATGGGCAAGTGACCTCAGCCTGGTCATTTATTGTATCCCATGTCCCTGTACAGAGTTATGGCTCAGCATGACCTAGGAATTAAAGCTGAGTCCAGTAGAGACCTTCCTGAGTAGCCTCTGTGTGGTTCCAACCAAGAAGTATCCCCGCCTCCAGCATCCTAGTGTTGGAAGGATGTCTACAACATCTTTCAAGCTGCTGGCAACATCGTTCTTACCTTAGGGAAAAGAGCTGTCTTAGATATACAGAACAAGGGTGGATGGAGACAGCCGAGAGATAAACAGAGAGGGAAGAGTCACGTCAGCCCAAGAACTTCCCTTCAGTCCCTGAGGTTTTGGTTCTTTCTGTACCAGAGGCTGACCATCATCCTCCCGACTCAGAGTCAATAATTTCCTCTAAATGTAAATGCGTTGCATTTCTCACCTTACCTCCACAGGAGTCCACTGTAATTCAACAGACTTCTTACACTAAGTGTTTTGGGCTGGGTTTTTTTTTTTTTTTTCCCTTTTAACTCCCCACCTTTATTCCTTAGAGAATGGAAGAGAGAAGAGAAAGTAACAGGAAGCAAATAGAAGCCAAAAGTGACCTATGAGTTCCCTGAGGAACAGAGTGAAGGATATTAGCGATTCCTGTCTCTAGGAATCTCTAGCATCAGGGTTCCCATTGAGAAGCCATGAGTGTTTGCGCTTCACTTTCTAAGTGTGGGACAGGATAACACTTCACCAACTAGAATTTTGGCAAAGCCATGTGACTTGCTTTGAGTATTCAATACGATCACAGAAGATGGAGACTACTTCTGAGGGCAAGGTCTAGCCAGTGCGTGGCCTGCCAAATTTCCCCTTCTCTTGTCCCTACATGGAAATTTTCCTGTCATGGAAGCTGAGTATTTTAAGTCCCCTCTCCCCTTCAAAAAAGGAATAAACACAGCTTAGTTTAGTGTAATAATGGTGACCAGATACATAATGAAAAATAAAGACAATCATGTTCCATTACAAAGTAACTTGTTTTTCCTGAATGTTCTCAATAGAGTATTGATTTTTCTCTGTTTGATGAAAGTTTTCTAACAAAACTGTGAGGAAGCGGAATGTACATGTGGGTTATCACAAAAAATGAATTCTGAAGTGATGCTTTTATACTTCAGCGTGATGGCTCCTTACTTTCACACTGTTTACACAAAGAGCAATAACTTTGTGAAGGAATAAGAGGATAAATGCATAAATGGATCCCTGGACTAGGGTAATAAATTGTAGAGATGTCACTAAGAGATGTGCGTGTGTGTGTGTGTGTGCGTGCGTGTGTGTGTGTGTGTGTGTGTGTGTGTGTGTGTAGGGGTGACATAGAAAGATAAGGGAAGATAAGGATTACTTCAAAGGGTTTGTTTATTCAGGGTCACTGCAGGCCGTATCATGAATCTGCAACCATCAAGACTGTTTCCTGTCTTGGTATATGAAGGCCACCCCCTTGCAAAAGAATCTTTATGTAAGGAAGGAAATGTAAGCTAAACAGCCCTTTCTGCAGTTCCTCAAGGTACCAATCAATATGTCAATGTGTTGTGTTTTCAGAGAATATGTCCTTAACACCTTTTGTCTAAACATGTTTAATAAATAACTGAATAATGAAACTGGCAAAATACACTATGCAATATTTCTTTTACATTTTTAATTTTACTTTTAAGTCTTGTGTATAGTTGATATGTAACAATCTGGACATATTTAAAGTGTGTCATTTCATAAGTTTAAACATGTATACACTTGGGAAAACATGAAGCCACTTAAGGTAATGAGCACAGGAGCCAGGCGTGGTGGGCCAGGCCTGTAATCTTAGCACTCTGGAGGCTGAGGCAGGAGGGTCGTTGCAAATTCGAGATCAGCTGGGCCTAAAAAATAAGTTCAAGTCCAGCCTAAACAGCATAGCAAGACACTGCCTCAAAAACATAAAAAGATAATGAGCACATCCACAACCCCAAAGTCTCCCCATCCCCTCTGTAAGCTACTCCCCTCTCATCCTCCCGGCCCCTGAACAATCTCTCACTGCCGTGTTGTGGAGATGGGTGCACATCAAGCCATATATCCAACAATTGTGATTTCAAAGGCAATGCTGAATATGTGATGTGTCCACAGATACAATAAAATGAAAAAGTTCTTTTCTAAGCCTGTAACTTCCCAGTGATCACTATCCTGTATGTGCATACACACAGATGTAAAAATAACCAGAGGAGCTAACAATGGTTTCCTACTGTATCATCAAGGTGAGACCGGCATTTTGCCCCGAGACATCTGGAAAATTCTGAGAAAGCTTTTTTGTATCTTCAAAGGTGGCTCCTGTTCTCAGGTACTGGATGGCATTTATGTCATTTTTGTATTGCTGGCTTTAATTTGTAATTTCCCCTCCATGAATAAAAAAATGCAGATTGGAACTTCTATTTCATCCCAGTGCTGGGTGGATTAATATTCCCATAATAGTGCTTCAATAATACACCCTCCCTTTGAAAACCCTTCATGGGTTCACTACCGCGTATGAGACGAAGCTCGTGCTCTGTGTCAAACCCTGCGTGACTTGGTCACGGTCCACCTTCCTAGTGCTTCCGGCTGCTACTACCTAGACATAAAATCTCAGCTGCGCCCATAGAAACCTACTGTTATGGTTTGGATGTAGTTTGAGAATCTTCCCAGAGTTTGACATGCTGGAAACTTGGTCCCCAAAATGGTGATGTTGAGGTGGTGTAACTTTTAAGAGGGGGACTGTTAAGAGCCTGTGTTGGCTCATGACGTCTAGGGGCATCATCCCCGGGTGGCACTGAAACTGTCTGCATAGCCTTGTTCTTGGAAGGGCAAGCTGTTATGACGCCTGGCCTCTACATCCCCGTGACTCCATCTCTCCGGTGACTGTGCTCTCATGCACGTGCTCCTGCCACATGCCATTCTCCTGACTGGGAAGCAGCCAGGGAAGCCTGCACCAAAGGCCAAGCCAAGGGGACCCACCCAAACTTGGACTGTGAACTCCAAAACTGTAAACTAAATAACCGTCTGTTCTTTGTGCAATGCCCAACCTCAAGTACTTTACAGCAACTTGAAGTGGACTAACATGGGAATCATTTTTCCTGAGTGGGCCTTGTGCAGTTCTTTATTGGGTTTTGGTAAGGCCAGCAGGCTCCTCTTCTCTATCACCTGAAATGCTCTTCTGTCACCTTCCCCTTCTCACATCTTACCTAAATGCTCGATGCATAGCTTCTTCACCCTTCACAAATATGGCGTGGATAACTACAGTATGATCTCTGCTAATAGCTCCATACACTGCAGATCTTTTGTCTCCACTACTTGTAAGCCATTTTTCCCAATACCATTTTGGAACTCCCCACTCTGAGTAACTCCTAACTAGATTATAAGCTCTCAGAAGGCAAGCACAACATTTGATTCATGTATGTATGACACCATGTATATATATACATACATACACACACTTACACATACACACATAGTGCTTAGGATAGTGCTAGACACAAAACATCATTCAGTAATTACAGAGCAAAGAAATTAATTTAGAGCTATGTCTTTTGCTTCCTTTACAAGACTTTACTCTAGACAAGCTTGTTCTCAGGTCTTTGGTCATAAATTGCAAATATTCCCTCCACTGCAGAGCTACAGGCACAGGAAAGAAGAGATAAGACTTAGTTTTCCTGATTGTGGTAATTTTAAAAAGCAAAACAGAAAAAAGGATAAAAATGATACAGAATTTTTTAAAAAGGAGGAAATTAACATTAATTAGTATATTGCATATTGTTATCTTAGAAGTAGTTGTTCAGGTATTGTGTTTTATGTTTCTCTGCCACAGTAGAGTTCTGCTTTAAAGATATATCATAGGCATATAATTGTCACATTTTTATACTAAAGACAAACATAAGGATTACAAATTGTTCTTCCATTATAAATGGCTACATGGGACACAATATTAAAGAGAGAGATTATAAAATTTTGCTTTAAATTTCAAAGATGTACTCAAACTGAGCCGGGCGTGGTGGCTCACGTCTGTAATCCCAGCACTCGAGAGGCTGAGGCAGGAGGATTGTTGTGAGTTCGAGACTAGCCTGGGCTACAAAGTAAGCTCAAGGCCAGGCCAGCCTGAACTGCATAGCGAGACCCTGTCCCAAAAAGACAAAAAAAAAAAAAAAAAAAAAAAAAAGATGTACTCAAACTGAAATTTTAAAGCTAAAATACAAGTTAGGACAGTGAATAAGACTTCTAAAAAACAGTTACAAGATCTGTAGCTTCTTCATGTGTTATTTAATACATGGTGCTTCAAAACTAACATCTGCACATTATCATTTAAATCTTAGAAAAGCAAAAAAAAAGTGCTAAAATATATATATATTTTTGTTTATCCTGTGGAAGTAGACTTTGCTTCTTTTCCCTGATACAAAACTAAACTCCAACTTACTTTATATTATACAGTTATAAATTTAAAAATGATAGAAACAGGGACTAATTAGGTATAATAACCATGCTCATCGCCAAAAACATATTAGTCACAGTGTTTGAATTTCAGTAAAAGCTGAAAGCTACTTACCTGAGTCATCCTGCGATTCAGGAAAATCACTCCTTGCTTTTGTGAATCATGGCGGTTTCTGCCTGGGGACAGTGACAGTAGCTTCTCAGGACTCTCTCAGTGTGAGACAGAAATGCAGATCGGTAGGAGTGAAATCAAACAGCACTGTCCTTCCCATGATGAACCACTTTTTTTTTTAATGAGGTTTTGAAGAGAATACAGATCCTGCAACAAAAAAAATGCTAACTGCAATTTTACATAATAAAATTATTGAACCAGCTACAACTCAAGTTGACCTCTTGACCTATGAAAGAATTGCCCAGAGAGAAAAGACTACAGAGAAAGATTAATATGTGAAATGTGCCAGAATTACATGAGCAAGTTATAAATCAATTTTTAAACTTTCTGCAAAACATATAGTGCTTTCCCCTAAAATGAAATTGAATGCTTTCATCTTGTTCCTGGAAAAATTATAAACATGGAGAGTCAACTGAATCCACTGGCGTAATTAAATGTGTATTGAGACAGTATCACCTCCATCACTTTGACAGGTCCTCCCAGTTATTTTTCGTTGTTCTTGTTTAATCTTGTTTTTATAAGTTGATCATGAAATTCACTGAAAGGCTGTTAGCTACTTAAAAATAATTGTACTTTCCATGCCCAAAAGCTCTTGGTAATGCAGAGGTCTTCGCGTGTATGGAAGGAGATTATAAAAGAAGCCTGGTGTGGCAGGGAAGCCTATTTACAGTAAATGCTTTGGATCCTAACTGCTTGCCTGCAAATGAGATAACTAGACCTCAGGCCAGATCACAGCTCACAACCATTTGTCCTAATCTACCTGTCCTTTGGGTGTTTACCACACTGCCAAGACAGTGCTTCGTGGTGTAGACAGTTATCCTCAGGATGGCAGGATAGGAAACCTGTGGTTTCTTCCGACATCCCACTGACACCACAATCTTGGCTCCTATGTAAGAATCACAGACCTGGATGTGCTTCTCTATGTCTTCTGAATTTGGGTTTATATTTTAACCTCAGGTAACTCTGTGCTATCAAGAGCCGGAGTTTGACCCAATAGGTAGTAAATTTTAGAAAGACATCAAAGGAACTAGTAGTCAAAGCATCTTATCTTTCCTCACACAGTGTTAGGAAAAAGGGTAAAAATAAAGGAGACGGTGTTTGTTTACTGATCCTGCAAAGCTACAGGCAGTGCACTGGGATTCTGGCCCTGGCTTACACATCCATCCACTGTCCCAGCTGACCGGGCCATCCATGTGTCTTTCTTTCAGGCATCAGTTCCCAAAGAAAGTTGCCCTCTCAGCTATTGAGGGCAAAGTCTTGAATGCCTTGGCCAGGAAGAGTAGCCACCTGAAAGAATTTTAGAAGGTGTGGAAGGCCTTTGTGAGATCCTTGGGTAGGCTCAGAGGCAGGAGGCTTATCTAATAAACAGAAACACTTACCGATATTGCTAACTTCCATTAATTCCCCTAAGTGATGATCTAAATATGCCCCTGTCTAAAATGCATAAATCCTAAAATTTATCAAAGAAGTTTCTGGATAAAGACAAAATAAGACAATATCTTTAAAAAGTTGTACTTGACATGTTCTTTTACTCTTATCAGTCATGTATATCTGCATTTTTATTATTAAAAGAAATGCATTTTCCCTCATTTTCTTGAATAAATAGAAAGCCATCGTCTAGGGCAAAGGTTCCTAAATTGAATCTTCTGAAATTTGGGAGTAAGTCCTGTATGTGAGTTTTCCTTGGAAGACAGTCAGTACCTTACACCGTGACTAAGGTCAAATTTAGTTTAAGAAAGAAAAAAGATTTCTGTACTAGAACAAAATATACATTCACTAGGTCAACAAATACTAATTGTATATTTTTAAAGGCAAATATACTTTCTAGGACATATAAAGCACTAAAGATATAGAAAAACAGTTTTTCCTCACTCCCCCACCATTCAGAAAACATACGATGAAACAGAAAACTAAAATATACAGGACTTTTACTGTATCTGAAGGGTGCATAGTAAAATGAGCATGAACCACAGGAAATTAGACTGGATTGGAATCATGTAAAAGTCATTATTATCCTAGGACGCGGCATTTGGGCCCCGAGAGCAAATTAAATCAAATGAGGTTGTGCAGAGAAAGAAAAGAAATGAGGGCAGAACACCAAGGATCACCAACATTGAGTCCCCATAAATGTTAGTATTAGAGGGGCAGCCAGCCACCTGCTATTGGAGCACCACCGTAATTAAATTTGAAAAATACTGGCAGCACCCACTAGGCCACAGCAGCATCAGGACCTATGAAAACAGCAAAGGCAGTGGAGGTGGCGGGCTCACTGCTGTCTAGAACCTCTAGGCGGGGAGGAAATTAGCACAAGAAAACAGCTGACCCACAACAGGGGAAAGCGAGCATGCGATCCACGGAAGAGTGCGGAAAGCACGCAGCATTTGCTTCTGTAGTCTGGGGTGAAACTTTGACTCCGTGACTCCATCTGCATAACGAAGTCCGTGAGAAGCCTCATGAATAGTCTGTACGGGACACAGAACCTTTCATGATCTGCCACATAGAACGCACGTGGCATTTCTAATTCAAGTCCTGTGAGCAGAGCACACCTCGGGCTTCAAAACAACAAAATCCGTGACATTGGGAGAAGGTGGCTGTCTGTAAAATTCAGCAGAGAACACCTGTTGAGAGAGGAGGCAACAGGAGGGGGTACCTTAGTGTGAAGCAAATCAAATATTTCCCAAAGCCCTTTGTTTTGAAGATTTCCAAAGGCCTTGTCTAAGTGGACTTCATGTAAGAGTAGGACATTACTTGCAAAATCTAAGCAAAGGAAATTGATGTGATAACATCTGGGTGGGAACTGTGTGTGTGTGTGTGGTTACTGGAAAGTTATTTTTCTTTAAAAAAGAATGATAAAAAGAGGATGATATTTTTAATTAGATGCAAAAGCAGAAAACAAGAACATGATTTTGATCATGAGACTCATTATCAAATGTCATTCCTCCACAGGGTATGACTAGGCCATATTCACTGTAACTATATTGCAATTCATTTTGATTTTATAGAATACAGAATTCCAGAAAAAGAACAAGATAATCATAAATGAGACGTAAGGGAAATGAAAACAGAGCATCCGGCTTTCTCCAGGCATTTGCTGCTCGGGTCAGTTTCACAAAACCAGCTCGAGTTAGTACGGAGATGAAAGAAACAGGCTTCCCTGGAACAGCAGGTAGCTACGACATTGTTCTCATAATAAAGAACGGCAGTATCAGGAAGAAACAAAATATTGGTTATGTGTCCTCTCTCCTCACAGGAAGGATAGTTTAGGCAGGAGGGGGGATGAGGAATCTCACAGCCCTGATGCATGATTGTTGCAGTAAGGTTTTAAATGAAGGTCATGTTATTCTTTATAAATCTATGTCATCTAATGATTTTTCTGATGGTGGACCTCAGAGGGAAATGTGATGTTAAATTATTTACCAGTGTCTTTCATAAAATATGTTTATAAGTGACTTTAAAACAGGCACTCCACGGTGATTACTGAAAATACAAAATTGATACAATCTGATTGCATATTTTGGGAAGAGAATCCATATTCATACAAAGTGTGGTAAATTCTAGGCTGCCAAAGATCTCATCTTGTGGATTCCAGCTGTGCCTCAATCCTCTTCACTGTATCCCCACCTCCTTCCCATTTGCTCAGCCTAAGCTCAGGCCATCACTTGATCCAGGAATTTGCATTCTTGTGGATCTCATTGCCAGAATATCTCAAAAGGCTATGTGCAATCAGAAAGAATGGGTAGTTTTTTTTGCAGGACACAGATAAACAGACAGGTGGATAGACAGAACTGACTTTTTGTTTGTTTGTTTGTTTGTTTATTTGTTTTTTGGTACTAGGGATCAAACTCATGACCTCACTCTTGCCAGGCAGGTGCTTATGCCCCTGAGCTGAATCCCCAGCTTCTCTGACCTAGGTATTTTAATCATGTATTTATTATTACCATAACTGAAGAGATGAGGGGACACTCCCCCCAAGTTTTATTCCTTTCAAAAAGAAATAAAATTTTGCTTCATGAAAAACTGATTAAATCATCGTTATTTTCCTCATTTCACCAGATTGATGAAGAATGCTGTTGTGAAGCAACACTAGAATAAAGAGCTGAGTTTTGCAAAACAAACATCATAGTCTCCAAAGCTCCAAGACTCCTGCCTTCAGAACTCAGTCCCTTGAAACTGGTCCTGCATCTTACTATCCTAGTGGATTTATTCTCACTCTCCACTAAGTCCAAACACCTTGGCAAGTCACAAAAAGCACCCCGCTGTAATCTGATGCCAGCCCCCCACCCTCTTCTCTTTTTTTTTGTCTTTTTCCTTTTTATTGGTACCGGGATCGAACTCACTTGCTTGCAAGGCAGGCGCTTATGAGGCTGAGCTAAATCCCTAGCCCCTTCACCCACTTCTCTTAAGATGTTCATCCCAGCCTTGCCCCATGCTCTGTTGATTCCCCTTGCAGTAGACAGCCAGCAAACTCTTTGTTCCAGCCAATAAGGATTTTGTAACAGGATGTACAGTACATCAATTCATTGCTTATTTCATGGAAAAAATTCTTGCTTTAACAAAAGAAAAAGGGATCAGCCTAGTGACTTACTAACATTTTGGAACAGGCTCCCAATCTAGTATTGTAGTCCCAATTTACAATACTCTGAATGCTTCATACACTGACTTCACTGTGCTTTTTATTCATCTGTTCCCTCTGCCTGGAATTTCCTTGTTCCCCTAGACCACCTAACAGACAGAACCAAGGCTTGGCTCAGGTTACATTCTCTATGAAGTCTTTCAGTCACAAAGACAAGACTCAGCCTTGGCGCTCCCTATGCCTCCCCTGCACTATCCAGATGCACTGGGCACTAGCACTGTGGTGGCCAGCCTGTGGTATATATGTCTGGTTAATGTGCAACTGCATTTTCTATTGGGGAAACTCCGTAATGTACAGTAATAGTGGGCATGGGGTCTTCCCATTCACCAAAAATACTGAAGCAGGTTGTGGGAGGGTGGCTCCCACTACTTGTCCCCTAGTGGGATGATTCAGGGGATTGCTGGTCTCCCAAAACATACGTCCATATCCTAAGTGCTGAAACTTATGACTGACGTTATTTGAAAAAAAAAAGGGGGGGGATTTGCAAATGCAATTAAGGCTCTCAGAGATCGTT